GAATGCTTCCAGGGACAGTGACTCCACCACTGCCCTGGGCAGCCTGTTCCAGTGCCTGACCACCCTCTCTGTGAAGAAATCATGCCTAACATCCAGTCTAACCCCTCCCTGGAGCAGCTTGAGGCCGTTACCTCTTATCCTATCAACAGTTACTTGGGAGAACAGACCAACCCCATCTCACTACAGCCTCACTTCAGGCAGTTGTAGAGAGCAGTAAGGTCCCCCCTGAGCCTTCTCTTCTCCATACTAACCCTTCCCCACTCCCTCAGCCATTCCCCATCACACTTGTGCTCTAGGCCCTGCACCCGCTCCATTGCCCTTCTCTGGTCCCACTCCAGCAGCTCAATGTCTTTCTTATAGTGAGGGGCCCAGAACCGAACACAGCATTTGAGGTTCACCTCATCAGTGTCACATACACAGGGACAGCCACTGCCCTGGCCCTGCTGGCCACACTATTGCTGATACAGGCCAGGATGCTGTTGGCTTCTTGCCTTCCTGAGCACAAGCCACTCATGTTCGGCTCTGTCAGTCAGCAGTCCCATGTCCTTTACCATGAGCAGCTTTCCAGCCACTCTTCTCCAAGCCTGGAGCATTGCATGGGGTTGTTGTGGCTCAAATGCAGGACCCAGAACTTTGCCTTGTTGGTCTTCATACCATTGGCCACAGCCCATCGATCTAGGCTTTGCAGATCCCTCTGCAAACCCTCTCTGTCCTTCAGCAGATCAACACTCCCAGCCAACTTAGTGTTGTCAGCATATTTACTGAGGGGGATCTTACATCTTCCCCAAGATCTGGTGTGTCCCATGGCAAACAGGGGTGCTCATGGGGCCAGGCAGTGGCTGCTGTCCAACTGCTCCAGACCCCACAGAATGTGGCATATCAGTGCCTGTCAGGGGACTGCATCTTCCCCAGCACGCTCCTGAGCATGAGACTGTACAGGGAGACAACACAGTGATCTCCTGTGTGCACAGTGTGTGGCTCACTTAGAGAAGCGTGGCTTTCTGTATGAGCTGAGGAGGTGCAAACAGCGGGGAGAGATGTGCAGAGTAGGAGAGGTCTGATGTGTGTGCTTGTGCCTTCTGGCTCTGAGCGGAGGGTGGTGGTCATTATTTTATTACATGTTCTCCTGGTAAGCTAAATTCTGATGTCCTATTATTTTCTTACTGTTCTTAGTAAGTGCAGAAAAGGGGGATCTTCCAGGAAACTGCTTGACCTGTCAAACTATTGAGGCCGTTTTCTGTCTCTTGCAGCATCGTGAGTAGGATGTCAAGGCTTTAGCCCGTAGGCCAGGTGCCTAGCAGGAGAAGACATATGGTCCAAAGTCCCTGCAGCAGTCCCTCAATATTCAGCAAGTAACAATGCACATGCCTTTATTGGTTCTCTGTCATTTAACAAGGAAAGATATGATTGGCCTGATTCTCCAGTTAGTTTCTTGAGATGGTTTTGTTGTAGCTTGACCCTGAGAATGAGACACTGCTGATGACCATACTGTTACCAGCAGTGTCAAGTTTAGATAAAGTGCTTAATAGGTTCAGCTGGTGGTCCTTCTAGCTCAAACATTCTAGCCATGTTCCATTTTAGGGAATGGATGAGGCCTAGATGGTTTTGACATACTGCTGAAAGCGTGTGTCCCCTAAACTGCTGTAATGCAGGGAGTCAGATCTGATTCCTCAGGCCATTAGGGTTTTTAGTAAGTGTCAAATGGCTGCACTTTTGTTCTCATAACTTCAGGAACTGTTTTCGTGTCAGGATAAAACATTTTCATTATTCATTTGCTCCCTAGCATGGAACAGTGACTGAAAATTTACAGGGTTTTGTCTCCTTTTTGAGACTGGACTGAAAGAAAATGCTACGCAAGGAGGACCGCTAGGATTAATGATCCTTCCACAGTGATGTTCAGAGATTACTAAAATGAATGGAACTCAGGAAGGCTCAATTCTTTTGCTAGCTTTTTACTGACAAGGTCTTAATTTAAAGTATACGGAGAATAAAGAGAGAATAAGCCTGTTGTTTTCCTTAAAATCAAGGGAAATTTACACAGATAAATTTAAAACCACCTAGTGAAACTTCTTTAAAATGTAAGGATATGAGGTTCCGTTGCAGAATGATTTGATCTCATGTAGCAGAAAGTCATGGTCAGGCTCTGTGCAAAAGCAGGCACATTTTCCGTTTTCCAGAGAGCTCAAAATTAACTTTGCCCTTGTGGATACATGATAGAGATTCCTGGTACTGGTATCTTTAAATGTGATTAAGTTCCTATTTCGTTTGGTGGCGTAGAATTAAAGTTCAACGACATGAAAAAAAAGGCTGTCAATTTACAGCTTATTTATTTGTGCCAGTTAATGCCAAAATCACATTAAGTAGTTAATGCTGCAGTATTAATTGTATATTTGTTGATATACAATTAATGTTGTATATGTTAATGTTGATGTATGTTAACATTGATATCTGTCCAGTAATTGCAACAGAGGGGTTGGGAGGCAGCTAATGAAATGTAAATTTTAAAAGGCAGAATAAAATGTCCCAAAGGCAACTTTTGCAAAGACCCTGCTTTTACCAAACCCACTGCTGTTAATTGTGTAATGACCTCAAAGAGGTGAAACAGTGCTATATTTACCTCTGTTTTAAATAGCAGCTCTTCCAGAGGACTTTGTCCCTGGTAGAATTCCAGCACATTAGCTCAGTGGTAACAGTTTCGAAAATATTATATTGTTATGTCTGTGTATTTTGTGAAGCAATAAATAGCAACCATGCTTCAGTTGCTTTGACTATCTGATCTTATTTGGGCTCCCTGATGACTTTCAGATAGTTGTGGTAGTTCTGAGTATTATTCATAGAGTGGTTGTGCACTCCAACTGTTGCAGCTGCTCTTGCCTGCTCCATTTGAGTGTTGAGTTGTGTATTTTAAGATAGTGTGTAAAATCAGAGATTTCTTGTTTTTTAATTCAAGCCAAAGACTTACGATGAAATCTGGAGAAATCTTTAATGTCTCAAATGCAACCCAAGTTGCTTGTGGCAGAAATTCTTGAGAAAAGATAAAAATATAACAAATATAACTCACTTATTACTTCCAGAGGAATAAAACCCCTAACAGGCCGAAATATACAGGAGGTCAGAACATATTAAGCACAGAATTGTGCTTAAGAGAACAACTGTTATGGGAGAAGTAAATGTTCAGTATCATAACTCATGAATATTTAACTGGATAAGGCAAACCCAGGTCTGGAATAAATGTGAAAGTGATTTGAATCAAAACGGAAACAGTTGACTGCTTTTTCAGCAGCTAAACCAAATAACTTTGGTGTGAGTAGTTCTCACACAAAGTTAACTGCTATTACGAAATGCAGTTATTTTTGCGGCAGTTATTCCCCTCCAGCAATTTATCCCCTATTTTGCATTTACAGTCTTGGATTAGCTTGCTGTTGCCTGCCATATGAACTGATCAAGGAATACTCCCCTGGGTGCCTTTGGGCTATGTGAGGGAAAAGAAAGACAGGCCTGGATTCATTAGGAGTAGACCGATTTAATTTTATGAGGTTGGACCAGAGGAAAGTGATCAAGGTAAGAGTGATATTGTCATACTTCATGCATTAGCCTTTCACTGTCTCATTCCTCCTCACTCTCACACTTTGTTCTTGTACACAGACACTTCAGAATGTTACCTTAATACCTTTGTTATCAGTGGTACTAAACTTTCTGTGACTGGGAGAACAAAAACTTTTGTAATCTATACTTTCATGAAGGGAAGAGCTTGGATGATCAACGACCACGAAGCCAAAAACCCTTTCCAAAACTGTTGAGGTGCTGGAAGGAGAAGGATGTTACACTATTTTTCCTTTATATTTACTAGCTGACAGCAACATAAAGCAATCAGAAATAATGCCAGAGTGTGACACATGGCAGTATCAGCAGCCTGATAAGACCTGCCTTGTAATTCATGGTAATTTATGGCAGTGCTCAGTGGGATCTCTAGGGCCGGGACAAGAGGAACTGTGCTCAAGAAACAACCTGTAAGAGGAGAATCATAGAATCATAGTATCAACTAGGTTGAAAAAAAACTTTAAGATCATTAAGTACAACCATAATGAAGACAATAATAACAGTGAAGAGATTATAAGATTAATGCTATCTTTGTTATCTTCAGTGGAACCGATAGTTCTGTGAGGAAAAGGATTAATGATGGGTACAACACCAGACATTTCACTAGTAGAAAAGTCAACCAACTATAGATACTCTCATTGTTAACAGGTCAGCCTTTAAAGAACCTACTAAGATATGTTTTGCTTCACACAGTCATCTGTATTCTGGTAGATTCAGCCTTTGAAGATGTTAGTCAAAGAATGCATGACAGCACATATTATAAGCATATACACAATCTACATGATCAGCATGTGCACAGCTCAAGTGATAACAGTCTATTAAATGCACCAATTAAACTCACCAAGAGAACTCTATGATTGTACAAGAGGAAAAAAAAAAAGTGTAGTAACTTTATAAAGCTATTTGAATTTTTGTATTTTGTATGTAGGGACATTTTAAATAGAGCATGAGAAAAGACTGAAAGATGGGAGAGGTAAGGTGTACATGGAGGTGTAAACCTTAGAAAAGACTTGACTTTAAAGCTGCACCTTCCAATTCTAGCTCTGCCTTGATAAAATTTTCACGAGGACCACTGAATCCAGAATCCCATTATTTCTGACAGGCATCTGCACAGGAGAGAAAAGTCAGGCTGTGGAATTGTTTGAGTGCCAAAGGACCTGAAGGAATTCCTGCCAAGAAGTCTTCATTAGTGTAAAGTTGAGTTGCTCCTTGCCTCAATGCTACAGCAGCTAAGGCAGTTTGAGAAGAAAAGAAGGGGCCATACTTGGCTAGCACAAAGTAGTGCTGTCTCGGTCTCTTTTTGACAGTTCTAGAGATAACAGTCTCGCTGATACCCCTCTCTTTCACTGCCAATTTCAGGTCCACCCCTGCTTTGTTGCCCCGTAGCACCAAATACCTGCTGAAGAGACATGTGAGTCCAACTTCATTGAAAGGGAGTGAGCTCTGTGGATGCCCAGTACCTTACAGGTAAGGTGTTAACATAGAGATACAAGCCTTTCATTGCAGCTGTTTGCAGTATGGTCTGTGCACCAAAATGAAGTATTTCATTTCTGACCTGTAGTGCCTGAAGACCTTAATTTTTACAAATTTGAAGTCTATTTTCTCCTTTAATTATAAGCATTCCAGAGGGCATTTCATTGAGGTTCCCCAAAACAGCAAGCATGCCACAGATACAAGGAATAATTTTGCTGTGCTAATTAAATATAAGCGATGCTCTGTGGCAAAAGGAGATTTACATTGCAGGAAGAGATAACTTAGAATCATAGAATCATAGAATAGTTAGGGTTGGAAAGGACCTTAAGGTCATCCAGTTCCAGCCCCCTTGCCATGGGCAGGGACAGCTCACACTAAACCATCTCACCCAAGGCTTCGTCCAACCTGACCTTCAACACTGCCAGGGATGGAGCATTCACAACCTCCCTGGGCAACCCATTCCAGTGCCTCACCACCCTAACAGGAAAGAATTTCCTTCTTATATCCAATCTAAACTTCCCCTGTTTAAAAGTTTTAACCCGTTACCCCTTGTCCTATCACTACAGTCCCTAATGAAGAGTCCCTCCCCAGCATCCCTATAGGCCCCCTTCAGATACTGGAAGGCTGCTCTGAGGTCTCCACGCAGCCTTCTCTTCTCCAGGCTGAACAGCCCCAACTTCCTCAGCCTGTCTTCATACGGGAGGTGCTCCAGTCCCCTGATCATCCTTGTGGCCCTCCTCTGGACTTGTTCCAACTTTTTCAATAGGCACTCAGTTTCTTCTCTGGATAGGGATGCCAGTGAAATCTTCTGTACTTTACTGGGTCTGGCTGTGGTACAGTGTTTTTAGTACAGGTCACTACCTCTGTTAAAGTCACTGATGTGCTGCTTTCAGAGGTTCCTGCATGACCGTTCTCATCCTAACCTAGGAATTGCAAGGCCTGGGTGAGATATGAAACTTGTGCCTGGGATCATGGGAAGTAATCTATCTTTGTCTTGAACTGTGGAATATTGCTGATCATGGATCTTCAGAGGAAAGACAGATGAGGCTGTTTTGTAGGTGGTACTGCAGGGAGAAGAACTGGCTCTTAGCCACAAAGAGATATACCAGTGCATCAAGAAACATTTCAGTGCTTTATTTGCAAACATTGGGGTGTCAACATAAGCAGGACATGGCGTTGTTGGAGCAAGTCCAGAGGAGGACCATGGGGATGATAAGGGGGCTGCAGCACCTCCCGTCTGAAGACAGGCCAAGAACATTGGGGCTGTTGAGCCTGGAGAAGAGAAGCTGTGTGGAGACCTCAGAGCAGCTTCCAGTATCTGAAGGGCACCAACAAGGGTGCTGGAGAGGGACTCTTCATCAGGGACTGTAGTGATGAACAAGGGGAAATGGGTTCAGACTGAAACAGGGGAAGTTCAGGTTAGATTTAAAGAAGAAGTTTTTTACTGTGAGGGTGGCGAGGCACTGCGGCAAGTTGCCTAAAGAAGTGGTAAATGCTCCATCCTTAGCAGTGTTCAAGGCCAGGTTGGACAGAGCCTTGGGCGACGTGGTCTAGGGTGAGGCATCCCTGCCCATGGCAGGGTGTTGGAACTGTATGATCTTAAGGTCCTTTCTAACCCAAACCTTTCCATGATACTATAATTCTATGATATTACAGCATTGCTGTTGGGTGTTCAAAAGTGGAAGTCAAACTAACATCTGACCCACTTCAGTTGTTGTTGTGTTTAAGGGTGTAACCAAACCATTTTGAACTTGGCTTTGACCATGCGATGTTACTGTTCATGCTCCCAAGTTAAGCAAAGGATAGGCAGTAAGTCCTAAATAATGTATTCAGGTATTCAGTAGTTTTTCTGAGTTACAGAGTGTGCCAGACACTAATTACATGTTGGCCAGTTTCTGGTTTAAACACTGAAAGTGCTCTCAGAGATGTTTGGGCTACAAACAAGGTGATAATATTTGATCTCAGCTGGAAAGTTTGAACAGCAGAAATTAAATTGAATACAAAGTTAGAACAGCAGCCTTTAGTAAAGGACACAAATTATGTTGGTTTACTCTTGTTTAAAATCCTGTGTGGGGTATGGGGAGAGGAGTGCTTTGGAGGTTACAGACTCCAGTGGGCTGAGGGGGAAATTTCCATCCAGTAATTGTTGAGGTTTGAGTGCTGTAAACTATATCCAAATTATGACTTATAACTACATGGTACTACATAGTTGTCATTCTATTAAAAGAGCTCGCTGCTCTAAGAATTACACATTTTTGTTTGAATTTCAGCTGTTGTCTCTTTTTAATGTATCTCCATGCGCAACTTGTTTGCTGAAGTCTTCATTTCTTTCCACAAAGATAATTTAATGATTTTGCAGTTTTAGTGTTTTATGCACAATACTGAAATATTCCTTTATTTCGTTTCTTGCCTTTTTCTGGATGAGCAGTTAAGTGTAGGTATGTCTTACTTTTTGAATGTTAACAATCTGTCCAGAATTTGCTGAAAATTTAAAGGATGACATTTTCTTGAATATTTATTAAAGAATTCGTTGGCATTTCTGCTGCTTCACATAGACAAACCTGGATGTATTTAATTGTAAATACTTCCTGTGTGGAAGAGAGTAGGTGATAATTCTTAGTGTCTGCTCCACTAAGATGCTTTTTCCCTCTGTTTTTAAATTAAAAGTTTGGCAATTGATCACAAATTTACAGCTACATATCCTAGACTAAGGACAGTCAAAATATTTTCTCATTGAAGTTTAAATTAATTCCTTGCAGTTCCAACTGTATAAAGCCAGGGGAAAGATGTCATTTGTAAATGGACAGACGTGCCACCTGGAAAACAAATGGATAACCATGGAAGCCAGCAGGGAAGCCAAGCCAGAAAAGGGAGCAATTACGTGGATGTGTGGCCACTCTGAATGACAAGGTAATCATGAAGGCTTTGCAGAATGTATGAATGTGTAACACCGGACCCCTTGGGCAGTGATAGCCAATTCGTACTCTGGATGAATCTGGTGTTAAATTTCCATCAATTCCAGCGTGATCACAATGCGGTCAATGCTGAGCTCTTTTGTAAAATCCACCCACTGAGGAGTGAATAAAACCAGCATTCATTTGTTCAGTGTCATAATAGGAAAGGAAAGGTTTTATAACTGCACCATCCAGGCAGACTTGGCTCTACATTTAGCTTCCCAAATTACTCATTGGAATGACTTCTTCATTTTCTGCCCAAATTGTGCGCCAGTGCTCTCATCACATGAAAACTGGCAGTTGTCTCATCTGTTGTACGTAGACTGTGATACTCCCCAGATTGATCTGCTTTATTACACACTTCTTTAAATGTCAGCAACCTTAAAAGCAATGCCTGCAGTTCCCTGTAGTTGTCCATGTGTTAAAAGGTATTCTGATGAAGGACAACAAAAAAATAATTATTCTGTGTTCATCATCCTTTTCCTAATTTTTGGGCTATGTTGTTCGCAATTCAGGATGATGCATAAGCAGTAAATACTGTTCTGTGCCTCAGATCTAGACAGCTGGTTCCCCAGGTTTTGTGCAGAACTGTTTTACAACCTGTTTGCTTGGCATAGAGCAGTTCCCTGCTAAATTATTCATTTTGTTCTGTGGCCAGCAGACTGGATGCTTGTGACATGTCAAGTGAAATTCAATCACTACATCTCATGTAAACAAACTCTCAAGACTTGTCTCTTTGAAGGGATAGAGCTTTTATAATGTGATCATCTTCTCCCAGTCTGTTTTTCTCACTCCCATTAATAAAGTGAAGGCAAGATCCTCATCAGTTAATGGTAGTGCAGTTCCTGCCCTTAGGCCAGCTTGGATCAGGTTGGGGTGAGAATGAGCAGGAATCAGAAAAGGCAGTTTTCTCACAAAAATCCACACCAGAAACCACTGAAGTCAAAGGGGTCTCTGAACCTCAGTGGGCTGGGGCTCACATGGATCCTTTTCAACAGATAGTGGGGCAGAAAATTCATTTGTGGACATGAGCATCATTTGGGTTTTCTTAGAAAAACCTGTTTTGTTTGGGGACAGTCACATGGATTCTGGGGTGTGACTTAGGATTTTTGAGTTTTCAAGCTGCTGGCACTCAACACAAACCAAATCAGTTGCCTCTGTGTGGTAGACTGATTTATTTTTTTTTAGCTTTTCAGGCATGGGCTAGAGGGTAGCGTGGAATGTAAAAGGCAGATGTATTCCTGTTGTTCCTGCTGCAGGAAGGGAAGATCAGTTTTTAAAAAATGGCAGAATGGTAGTGTTAAATGTAAACCTTGAGATTTAGATTTCCTCGAGTTTTAAATGTGGCTTGGAAGACACATTTATCATTTTTTCTACAATGCTGCAAAAGCTCATAGCACAAAAGAGATTGTATTTTTTTGTTGTTGTTCTTCTAAAACTGAGGAAAAAACATCATTTGATTTGGTTGCTTCTCTTCCTCGGGAAAGGCTTGAAATGTCTTTAGTAGAAAAAATACAGAAAATTGTCATCACAGACAAACTAGAAATGCCACTAGTGAAAAATAAATACTTCTTTAAGTATATCATATCTGGCAATATGAAGTGCTTCAAAGGAAAATAAAAAACAAACCTGCTTTAATTATAGGCAATATGTCAGCATAACATTCCTGGAGTGTGTTTATCTGCAGGAGGAATGAAAACTTGTCACCATTTTCCTGAGCCTGACTGTGACAACCCATATCCTGGGTCAGACAGTGGAGGAGGGTTTGTAGGAAATATTGCAGCTCACAGGTCTGTTCCCTTTACAGGCACTTCTTGGAGATCAAGAGCTGGCCCAGAAGCATGCACCCCTTGTTGCCATGCAACAGCCAGACAGAACCTCAGGTACCAGACACAGCTCATCCATCATTTCATGGTTTTTCAATATCCTTTCAAACGTGGCTACCAGAGCTGCACATAGACTTCCAGTCTGCCTCAGCCATGCTGTAAAATAACTTTCTTACTCCTCCTTATGAGTCCCACTCACATATACTTAAAACATGCTGTTAGCTTTTTATCCTACCACACCTCATCAGTTCATGTCTTAGTTTCAGATTATGTCAGTGCTGTTCTGTCTCTATTCATCATAATGCAACAAGGTCTCCTCATGTGAACTTAACAGCATATTGGTCCTAACACACTGGACTTAAGTCTCTGCTAAGATAAAGAAGACTCTCAGAGCAGGGAAAGTGTCATGGCTGTGAAAAGATACCCACTGATCCAAATTTCTTTTCTATTTCTAAGTAAGAATTTCCTATGGGAAGCTGTGAATCCAGCTCCTCATGGATTCAGTGTGTTGTCATATCTGTGAAGCAGTGCTAGGAATATGTTTTCGGGCTTTTTCCTAACAGATATGATAAAGACTAGGTTTTAACATCTTGATCTAATTTCCCCTTTTATCAGTAATATGGGTGGCTAGTACTGGAAAGAACTAGTTCTTTGTGTTGTTATAAACTGTATAAAGATGTTCAGAGCATGTGATAAATGAGAGTTACGCTTGTCTGTGTGTGAGAGAACATGTCTGTTCTTGGGTCTCAAAACGCTGCCTGTTTTTAGACTGCATTGATAGTACATGAGTATTTTCAGTTCTTCGATGCAGAACATTTCCTTTGATATTCTATAGTGAGTGCTTATTTATGCAGTAAAATGCATAACAATATACAATATCAATCTGTAAAAGTGTATGTAGGGCTGCTGCTATAATCTTCAGTTGCATGGATGTCTTTTGTCTAGCTCTGTGCAAAAATGTGAAGCCTGTGCCAAGCAGAAGGTTTTTGAAAGGGTCACTTAGTCATAGCCCATTGGATGAAACAACCAGCAAGTTCAAGAAGAAATCAAACCACAAGAGCACTCTAATTGCATGGCAGTAGAATTCAACTCTTCTAGTTCTGCTTGCATTATCTTATAAACACTTTTACTTTATCTCAAGCTATAGAAGAAGTCCATTAGAAGCATAACCTGAAAGGGACATGAAGAGGTCATCTTTCATTTCCCTGCCTTAAGGCTATGTGGGCTGAAAAACTTCACACAGTGTATTGTTTTAAAAGTTGTCTGAGCATGCATGACTGCTAGGGGAAGAGTTAAGATTATGTACTATAAGTTTCCCACTTTCAGATGTCAAAATACATAACTTGAGTGGGGTCACATAGTCGTATAAGTAAGAGAAAGAAACTGAGCAGAGGCAGTTTTGGAAATAAATTGGAACTGGAAAACAATGTGATAAATGCTTGTGAGTCAATACTTGTCAACATGTTATTTGTGCATATTGTTATTTCATGATTCAGCTAGCCATGAATAAAACTCCATCTAAAGCTAGTGGTTATTCTCCTGTGCTTCCCATAATCAAAGACTGCTGCAATTAAGTTAGTGCAGAGTTAGTAATGTATGCTGGCTGGTTTAGTTCTCACTTCTGTTCAGATCTGCACCAGTAGAGTCTAGGGAATACAAACAATAGTTGAGTCAGAGTACCTGTAATTATCACTGCAGTTTACTGAACTGGCCTTGCCAGAGAAAAAATGAAGCAAAAGTTCTCTTGTTAATTAATATGCTCAAATGTTCATGTAACTTGTGTATATAGTATGGAGATAGACCAGATAAAGTAAAGGCAGAACCTAAGAGATGCACTAAGGGTGGTGTCCTGGTTTAAACCCAGTCAGGTAACTCGTTCACTCACTCCCCCCCTTCTTTCCCTCCCCCTACTCCCGGAGGGACAGAGAGGAGAATCGAAAAGAATGCAACTCCCACGGGTTGAGATAAGAACAGTTTAGTAACTAAGGTATAACAGAAATCACTACTGCTACCACCAATAATAACAATGATAAAGGAAATAACAAGGGAAGAGAATACAACACCTCACCACCAGCTGACCGATAACTTGCCCCCCCCAGCCCCGACCAAGCACCGACGGATACCTCCTCCAACCCTGCAGACTCCCAGCCCTTCCGGCTAACTCCCAGTTGCATCCTGGGCATGACGTGCTGTGGTATGGAATACCTCTTTGGTCAGTTTGGGTCAGGTGTCCTGTCTCTGCTTCCTCCTGGCTTCCCTTCCTCCTGGCAGAGCATGAGGCTCACAAAGTCCTTGGCCAAACCAGAACATCGCTATCAGTTCTGTTCCCAGGCCGAAAGTCAAAACACTGCACTGCACCAGCTACCAAGAAGGAGAAACATGACTGCTACTGCTGAACCCAGGACATTATCCACCCCTTATTCCATACCATTCACGTCATGCTCAGATCCCACATTTTCAATATACCATCACTCTTATCTAAGTGCATGGACCAGTAGCTATAAAGCTGCTGCATCCATCTGGTCCATGATGCCAGGCTCCATCTCTTGTAACAGTCTTCCAGAGCAGGAGAGACTGTGTGCAGTGTTCACACTCGTGAATAACCTGGGCAATAGCGTCCATTGCTAAGTCCACCCCTCGATCATGAGTCCATCTCTGTGTTGCATCCATGGGCCCACCAGGCTCAAAATAATTCACTGTCCCCTTCAGCAGTTTCTGCAGCTTGTTGCTGGGGACTCCATACAGCTGCCTTCCATCTCCGATGCTTCCAAAGCACTGGAGGGGCCCAGTGGACTAGATACTTGCCCATACTGTCCCACACCCCCTGCCACTCATGACTCTCCAGCCTTGGGGAAAATCTCTTGGTCCCCTTGCATTGTCGTCTAACCCCAGACAAGACCCAAACCTGACTCTGCTTAATTTTTGAGATCAGACAAAATGGTTGTGGGTAGAACACAGTCTGTGTGTGTGCCAACATGCTGATCCCCATCACAATCAGCAGGCAGGTCCCAAGGATACCCAAAGGCCATTCAAAACCTTCAGAACTCTCACACGATGCTGCTGTACTTGTCCCTGGGGCTGGTGTAGCTGCTGTGCTTGCCGGCTCTGCCACCGCCAGCTTCTCTGTTCCCGAGTCCAGCTCTTCCTCCTCTGCCTTGCTGGGAAATGCTGCGTGGTCTCCTGCATCCTCCTGGGGCTCGGCGGGCGGCTTCCGGGGAATGCTCTCGGCCGTCGCGGGGCTGGGCTCTGCCGCGGGGCTGGGCTCCTCCACGGGGCTCGGCTCTTCCGCGGGGCTCGGCTCCTCCGCGGGGCTGGGCTCCTCCGCGGGGCTCGGCTCCTCCGCCGCCTTCTCCCGCTGCTCTGCAGCCGCCTCCTTCTGCTCCTCGACCGCCCCGACCTCCTCCACCGGCAGCCGTCCCCTCGCGGCCTCCGGCCCCGCTCCCGCCGCCGCTTGGTCCCCGGGGCCGCTCTCCCGGGCCGGTTCGGCTGCCGCCGGCTCCCGGGGCCGCTCCCCCTCGGCTCCCCGCAGCCTCACGAAGATGGAGAGTAGGGCGAGGGCCAGGCCGGTGAAGAGCAGCCGGACGGCCAGGTACAAGTCCATGGCCACGTCCGTCCCGCCCTGCTGCTGGAGCCCGCCCGTATTACAAGCCATTGCCATAAAGCACAGTGAGACAAGAACCTTAGCCCAGGCCCCACACTTGATAAACACTATCATCACAGCAAATACCGGCTCTACGTAAGTTACAACATTCTGAAGCTGTGAGATCAGCGAGAACAACTCTGAGAGCCAATAAATCAGCATTATGACGAGTGACTATTAATCCAATCAAATCTGTCGTTATCTCAACCCTTTGAGCCCCACATTGGGCGCCAAAAAGAACTGTCGTGGTTTAAACCCAGTCAGGTAACTCGTTCGCTCACTCCCCCGCTTCTTTCCCTCCCCCTACTCCCGGAGGGACGGAGAGGAGAATCGAAAAGAATGCAACTCCCACGGGTTGAGATAAGAACAGTTTAGTAACTAAGGTATAACACAAATCACTACTGCTACCACCAATGATAATAATGATAAAGGAAATAACAAGGGAAGAGAATACAACACCTCACCACCAGCTGACCGATAACTCACCCCCCCCCAGCCCCGACCAAGCACCGACGGATACCTCCTCCAACCCTGCAGTCTCCCAGCCCTTCCGGCTAACTCCCAGTTACATCCTGGGCATGACGTGCTGTGGTATGGAATACCTCTTTGGTCAGTTTGGGTCAGGTGTCCTGTCTCTGCTTCCTCCTGGCTTCCCCTCCTCCCTGGCAGAGCATGAGGCTCACAAAGTCCTTGGCCAAACCAAAACATCGCTATCAGTTCTGTTCCCAGGCCGAAAGTCAAAACACTGCACTGCACCAGCTACCAAGAAGGAGAAAAATGACTGCTACTGCTGAACCCAGGACAGGTGGTAAATGATGGATGGAGTACTCTCATCAGTTTGGGCATTGCATTTTGCATGTGCTAATCTGTGGAATGCCAGTGTCTTAAGAAAAATTGTTAAAATGTTCGAAAAAGCTTAATTAATGATGGCAATTAAAAAGGAATTGTTTGTTCATTAAGGTTTGCAAGTGAAGGTTCTGCTCTAGTGGCAAGGAACTTGTGGAGTATTCTTATTTGAGATGGTTGATATTGGAATAGAGCAGATTCCCTTATTTGCCACCAGCTTGCAGATTACAACACAGATATGAAAGCAGCATCTGCGGGTAGTACCTGTCCTTCTATGGGAAGCAAACTTCCATCGCTTTGGGCCTTAGCCAACACAGAGGGACATAAGTTTCATAAAGCAAGAGAAGAGTCACACTGTGCTTCTGACCTGCTGTTCAGTTTCTGTTCTGCTTGCAGAGTTGCTTAGCTATGCATGGCTGTTCTGCAGGACATTTTGCAAGGTACTGTGTTGACAAACTGTGAAATCAAGTTGATGATAATCCTGGGGATATTTGGAAATGCCAAAGATTCAAAGGATCTTCAAGTATCAGAAAAAAATGGACTGATGCAACTTACTTATATTTTCATTTGCATTTCTTATAATCCCAGTGTGTTCAGTAATTTAATTTCTTGGGCCATAGGATGATGGATTGGGCTCTGGATGAGGCAAGTGCTGGTGGTTTGGCTGGATCCAAAAAGAAAGAAGAGGAAAAGCATCTTTTTCATCCTTTAAGCCAAAGCCAATTGCAACCACTGATTTCATCAGGAAATTACTGGTAATGTCAGGAGGAACTCTTGGGACCTTCCTTCCCAAAACCACCTTTGCATTAGAAGCAAATAATGTGTATGATGGGGATATTTTTTCATCAATGTGTAATTTCATTTCACAAAGTTTCTTGTATTTCATTTCCTGCTCTTCCTTCATTCATTCCGAGTGGAGAACACTGAATGACTATCCCTGCTTTTCTGTACTGCAGTCGCGCTGCCTCCTTTGTCCGACTAGGAGCGTGGTAAGAAAACTTGAGCCCTGCCTGTTGCTGTCTGGAGCAGAACTGAGGCAAGGAGCTGCCCAGGTGGATGCTGAAGCTGGTTGATGCTTGCAGCAGTCTCCCTCTTGGCAGAGATTCTAGTGCTTTGTCAAACTGTCTGCATCAGTTAATTGCTTGTTATAAAGTCCTATCAGAGCACTTAAAGTTTGCCATGCACTTGTTAATTTGATTCTTTGAATAGTTTAGGAGTCCTCAGTTGTGCTGGGGTAACACAAAAGCAATGTCGCAATGTACCTGCAGCATGCCTGCCAAAGGCAAGGATAATTTGTGTTGCCACCGCTATTGATTCTGTGTGCGACAGTTAGACTTGAAAGATAAAGAGGAAATTAAGCATAACAGAGTGATAATAGAATGATCAATGCTGCTTGGTGCAGACTTTGCATGTGCATTGACAAGGAAGATGTTTTGCCAATGCTAGCCACAGACGTGTAAATGAGGTGATAAGTCTTATCTGAAATACAAAGCTAAATAGAAGTGGCTAGTATGGTAGAATTAACATTGGTGCTTTAGTAACAAAGTGAGAAAAACAAGAAAGATGAGATGGTGTCCTAGACTTTCAGGAAAGCACAGATGGTTCTGGTCGCTGTCACGAGATTCCTTTTTCTCAGTATGTGAATCATGGTTCTGTTTTCTTTCACAAATATTGAGTGTGAAGAAGGAATTAGCAGGGAAGTCATTTTCCTCTGGCACTTGAGTAGCCTGGCTTGTAAACCAGAAACCTGTTGTCATAAAAGCTCTTTCTTCTTACTAAAAGACTGCTTTCAGTGGCAATAAAGACATCAGTTTGGGATAAAATTTTGCTTTTCAGTGGGATATTCTATAGAAGGAACCTTCATTCAATACAGCATTTGTGCTGAGTATCATGGGCCTCAGAATCATCTACTAGCAAGTCTTTTGGTCACCAGAATGTTTATGAAACACTGCTCTGGGGAGGAATACTTCTGTGCCTTGCCTTGGGAATCCTCTGCAGTCAATGGGATTGGTTTCTATAGCAGTCATGTTTGCAAAACTCTTATCTCCCATCCTTACATGTATATAAGAGTTTTAGTGTCACTCCAACTAAGCTATTTTCAGTGTTCTGACTTGCTGCAAAGACTTAAGGGATGGATTTCCACATCCTGGCCTTTTTTTTTTTTTTCACAGCCATTGATGTACTTATTCACAGCATCTAAGCCACTCTCTGAAATGTTCGTAGCTATTTCCCTTAATAACATCAGATAATCTCGATAATGGGATTGCCTTATCCCAATCACAGCTTTAAAATATCTTGTGGTGTCAAAATTTCATTATTTTAATCTTCTATTTTCCACTTTATGAACTCTTTCAATTCACTGTGGCTTTTCTACAAAATTACATTACCTACCAGTGGCTTGTGTTAATTTTTTTTTAATATCCTCCAATATTCAGTATCTCTTAATACACGATTTTGTTCTAAAATTGCTTTCCACATAGTAAACTTTTATTTCTTGTCATTACTGTCCATTCAAATGCAGCTCCATTTACCTTTGTTTTTCATTTAATGTTAACCTCAGGTTAAAGCCATTCACGCATCAGTCACCACTTAGCTTTAAATCTGTGTAGATACATTTTATAGAACTTTTAATTAATTTAGTAGAAAGCCATAATGAATCGTAGCAGTCTTCTAACCCAGAGTGACTGTAGCAGCCTGACCACTACCTGAGCAATTCTATTAATGGTTTAGATGATAATAATTACATCATTGTTGGTGCTCTGAAATGGGCAGTCTTTGTCAAAACGTCGTTTTGAAGCAAACAGGAAGGAATTGATATTTGGGGAACCATTTGAATATGGAGGCCAATCGCCAAAATCCAACAGTTTTCAGAGATTATTGGAGTTTCAAAAGCCTTGGATAAATAGGAATTTTTCAGAGTGCACTAGAATGAATTGGGCATTCGGAGAGCATCAGTGGTAGGTAGTAAGAATCTCACCCAAAAATACAGTCTGACAATCCCATATCTTTGAAATGAGCAAAAAATAAAGTACATCAGAAATCACATTAGGTAGATGACATACTTTAACTGAACTGAGTCCTCGAAGAATTAGTCTGGTGATTATGGGAAGACTACAGCTGAGTGTCTTTTTAAATCAGGTAATTTGAAATTAAGTCTCTTTTCTTTACCTGGTTAGTAAAGTCCATTGTTCTGAGTTTATGGCTCAGGTTGCTATCTGATGTTTAAAACAGCATTTCCCAATGTGTCCTGACAAGTTTAATGTAATTTTAGACCCTTTTATTCTTGAATGCTGAAATTGCAATGAGATTAGGAAGCAGAGTGATTAAAATGAGTTTCCATTGCTAAAAAAAAGGTATTGGTAGATAATTCAGACTCAAAAGAGAAAAAAATTAGATGACTAGAAGGCTGAAAGTAATCCATATTGAGAGACTGCTCGCTGTGCAGAGCAAGCATGGAGCATGGACTCCAGCTTCATCAAGCTGCAGTTCCCTTTGCTTTCTGATGATATGCCAGATGTAACATGAATGTCTCCCAGGTCAAGTGTTGTTTGATTAAAATGAGTTAGCGAAAAGAAATGTGGCGAGGGCTTGCCATGTGCTGCTCTGTGCACCTCACCCTGTCTGCCAGGCAAACAGGGAGCAGAGCTATTGTTCAAATAGCAGTGATGTGAGATTTAGGTTTTTCAGGTCCCTGCCTTTTATACTCTCATAATAGAAATCATTAAGGACCCAATGAAATATTCCATTTATCACAGTAAATTTAGGTGACTGGTGACATTAAGTGCTGTTATGGGTCTGGGTCATGATTCCTGCCAAGCAGAGTCCTGTTCTTACTGAGTGACTATGCATTAACTCAGATAGCTAGCTTACTATCTGTCATAGCTGTTGAATAAGGCCCAGTTTTTCTAGCAACAGGGTGAGTAGGAAAGTGATCAAGGGAATTTTTGGCCTCTTGCATCTGAGGATGAATTCAGGATCAAGTCTTCATGCTTTTGCTTGGGTAAATCAAAAGTGATTAAGCTAATTCAGCTTTTCCAAATTGCACTTTTCTGCTTCTACACACAGGCTGAGGCTAGCTCCTATTTATTCACGCTACCTGTGTGCCTAAGAAAAAGAAAAGAAGAGGAAGGCATCTCTGGAGCTACACAGTGATGAGGTTACAAGGAAATTACTCTTCTAACTAGAAACATGCAGAATTATCACATACCATTAAGTGATTTTCTCTTCTTTCGCAGGGTTTATGTCCAATCTGTCATGGCAGTCTTGCTCTGGAATTCTAATGAATCTCAGCCTTTGACTTCTCTCCAGACAGGTTTTTAGCTTGACAGCCAAAAATCAGGTAGCTTACAGCATAAATTCACTACCTTGAGTTCCAAGTATTGGCTTTACAAAAGAATTTTACAAATTCTTTAATCGTTTAAAATAATTAATATTTATTGACAGTAGATACAATGCTTCAATGTACAGTTTGGCTTGATGTATTTGATAGCTTGAAACTAGCTGCCTTCCAAACTTACAAGTGCTTATTCTGCTGCATGATCCTTGTGTCTATAAGCAGTAGCCTGCTCTTCTTCCAGAATGAGGCAGGTCAGTTTTAAAATCTGAGTTTAGTCCTTTTAATCTGGACTCAAATGCATGGATAGAAGTTAATTTGTTTGTTTAATTTGGTAAACCTCAGGCTTCTGTTATTATAAGACTGCTGTTCAGAAATAATAAATTCATGCATTTTTTTCCACTGAAACACTGACAAGGTATAATTATATCATGATCTATTTTGCCACCTTAAGACCGGAACCTGAGATATTTGCTGACACAAAATTAGAAACCAAGGAGAGTAATCAGTCATTCACAACTATGGAACTAATTCTTTCTGTGTCCATTTAGTAGCCTGAGTACAGAATAACCCTGTTGTTATGACCTTTGACAAATGCAGAGAATAAAAGTCAGGTTTCTTGATTTCTGATGCCCTTTCACTCTAAGCTTTTTAATGCACCTCAGCCTGAGTAACAGTTATAAGCAGTAGTTCAGCCTTTCTAATACAAAGGATACAAGTTACGAGGGGAAATTATGATCATTTGGGACCCCAATTACCAACCTAAATGGAAGCACTGGACAAGGCATCCTCCAATTCTACCATTTCCTTCCATGTGGATATGGCACATTGGTTAGATTCATCTCCAAAAGCTACTGGTTGTGTATGACTGTGTTTGGTTTTGGGGGAGGTATGTGTTACTGGTTTTTGCCCATATTTTCCTCTTCTCCAGGCTATGCTAGGCATTCCTGGTTGACAGCTGTCCTACTGTGTGTTTTAAGATCCCCACCAGTCGTTACAACTCGGGATGTAAACTTCTCATGGCATTTAACCATATGGAAATGCAGCAATGTTTTCAGGATAAAAAACTGCCCACCCAGGAACTGTTAATGTATAGAGAAACAAGCTGATTTGAGAAAGGACAATTACTATGTCTCTGAAAATATCATCCCTATTTTCAAGCCTAAATTTTCAGGTACCTGTAAATCAGTATGTAGAAAATGATTTTTCATGACTAATTTATGTTTAGTAAGAAGATCATAAAATTCTCCAGATTCTGCATTCTTTTAATTTCCATCTGTCTCAGAGCAAGCCTTGTGTGCTTAGTTAACAGAACACTTAGCTACCTCTCTTCATAGTTCTTGACATCAACAGTCAATTCCTCAGCTTCTTTATTCAAGTGAATGGTAAGTCTAGAATATAAAATACAATGGAATCAGTGTCAACCAAAAATGATTATTTAGTGAAAATTTAAGTAACCGAGCAAGCAGGAAGCCAAATCTGAATCACAGAATGCCAACTCCTGAGAAGTAATAGACATTTCCTTAGATTTTCCGCAAGTCACTGCAAACACACATTTTGGGAATATGCATCTGTGAATGTGAATAAAAATTTCCCACTGTGTGTTTTTTGACATATGTATGGCAGGATCTAGGCCCTACATATCAAATATCGGCATTTTGCATTTTGTTTGCATTTTGGCCAAAACACCCTGGAAATGGTGCTGTGTCTGCCTTTGATTTCAAGGTGGAATTCACTGAAATTGGAAGGATGCATGTAAGGCTGAACACATCTTCCAGCTTCCAATTTTGGGTCAGTTAGGAAAGTTATTTTCCAGTGGGAGAAAAAAACCCACCAACTCTGCCGTCTTATTCAGGCTACAGGAGCTATTAATCCTCCAAAATGGCTGTTTGCAAACAGTAACATCTGCTAAGTTTTTCTTCATGGCTTTTTTTCATCTGGCCTGCCCAGAACATGGGCACAGATGTGCTCATCCCTTATTCTTTTACAGATGCTGCTTTGGCAAGTGTCACTGTGGCAACGTCCATCAGAAATGTCTACTCAAGAGAAACATTTGCCAGGTCTGCCTGCCAGCATGAGCTGAATTGTCTCACTGAGGATAGAATATAGTTTGTCCTTGCCTCTCCCTCTCAAAGATAATCATTAGGGAGCCGTAGAAGAGCTGATAACTAGCCAGGAGTGACTTGCAGCAGATGCTAAATATTGTAACACTGATAACAGTTAATTTTTAACTGCAAGATCTGAAACTGTAGAAACTTTATTCATTTCTGAGAAGTGGTTATTCTGATTTTAAGGGACTGGATAGAGGAACTTGTGGGAACAGAGCAAGCCAGTAAGTGAATATATGATCTGATTGATAAACATTCTGTACTAGCTGCTAGCCTGGAGTCTTACAAGTTTAAAGCTAGCTCACACTCCCACATTTAGCAGTGCTTAACACAAGACCTGGCTGAAACTATGGATCAGTAAGAGGGCTTTTATGGGTTTACTGAACACTGATTTGGTTCATATTTCTTGAGAAGAGGTACAAGGGAACATTAAATCAGGTTCCATAAGTGGAATACACAGGAGATGGGGAGAAAAGCAAAACCTAGGAAAGGAAGAAGAGCTTTTAATCTTCTTGTAATTTGCCTAATTGAGGTGAATGTTTCATGTACCTTATTTCTGGCAAGTAGTCTTAACATTTTTCTCCTGCAAGATACCACTATCTCTGTCTTGTCAATCTATGCCGAGTTTCAGTCTCAAAGGATAGCCAACTGTGCGCTGCAAGGCTGACAAGAAATATTAATTCAGGAAGTCTTAAATTGGTTCTTTTATTTTCCAGCATAGTTCAACTGAATGGGAGGCACTGAGCAGACCTCACAACCCAGCCCTGCTGCTTCCAGTTTCTTAGCAGATCATTCCATCCACATCAGAGCATCTTTGAAGGCAAAAAGTGCCCAATACCAACTGCTGGGTCCAGACCTTGCCGCAGGAAAGGTCTGACCCCGGAGCAGATGAGCAGGAGCTTCCTTTCCAGCTGTCAGGGAGCTGTTCCCTCTGAGGTGCCTTTGATCCCAAGGAGAGGCATGAACTGATGCATTACCGTTAAGAGAACTAATTTCGGCAGCTGCATCTGTTTAATTGGGTCTCTCAGCAGAACATGACTGTAAGAGGGAGCCTGGAGGGAAGTAAGAGATCACTCAGGTATGAATTGCAAATGTTTAAAAGCTTCACTCACCCCTGGATAAATCCTCCCAGGAGCTGCAGTATTTGTGCAACTGCTATTCCTGGGCAATTTACACTTGGATGGGAAGATACTTCTAGTTCAGGAGATCATTTAATAGAAGTGTACAAGAGAGCTACTTAATACGTGACCTTTCTCTGTCATGATACTAGATATTTTCCAGAGCTACTGAAGATATTTGGACATTTCAAAGGTTATTTTAGACCATTTTCATAATTTTCTGCATGTTGAGCACTAAATTCCTGGATATTTTTATTGATAGCTGTTAAAGGTCCTTTAAATACTAAAACTCTCTTTAAAATGTCTTTAAAATGTAAAAAAAACTTAAGCCACCTTTGAAAATCTTAAGTATTGTGTAGGAGGCATATCCATTGCTCTCTGTTTATGTCTTATGTTACCAAGAACTGTGTCATTGTTATCTTTTACCTGTTTATCAGAGTCCTGATTGATTGCCACTGATATTTCCAATGCAGAAGTTGGTGAGAAATGCTGCTAAAAGTGTAATAGTTAAATATAAAAGACAAACCTAATGCAGAGCAGTATTAGGAGGTTGACTCTAAATTCACCATCTTTCTCATATGAACAGTTAACATTACTTAAATGTCATGCTGAATGAAAACTCATCTATCTTTTGAAGAATGTGACATTGCTGCCTAGTTAAGGATAACCTGGATATAAACTTTTCCATCAACATGATGATAGTACATTGTTTTGACATTTAGAAACAGAGTTCTAAAAGCTAAGACTTGGACACGCAGCTGCTTTGGATTAAATTTACATACCATCATGGAAGCACAAGAAGAGAATAAAGAGGCACTTCTTATAACCCCTAATAATTTGATTTCAGGTTTTTCATCCAAAACTCTAGTTGTTATTCTTTTCTGAGAATAATTGAAGGTTGGCAGCACTTGCAGTTCTGTGAAAGCAACAGTCCTTGTAGTAAGGGACTTTTGGTACAACACGATGTGTCAAACTGATCTCCTTATTCTCTTAGAATGTGTCCTACAGCTGATAAGTCTCTGATGGGAACTTAAATATGCTTTATACTGTGTATTCATGTTAAAGTAAATGTTGATTCTGCCAGTAGTTTTCTTTAAAACGTTTTTCACAGCATTTTGTTTCTCAGTGGTTTGCTGAATACCTCTTCAAACTTAGCAGCAACGTGACATGTCAACCTTTGTGTTGACTCTGACCAGCAGTGCAATAAGAGTTGCCTGATTCATAGAAAAATTCATTATTACTAGTGCTAAGCTGTCAAAAACATGAACAACACTTTTTCCTTCCCGATCCATCATGTTTTGTAACACAGTTACTGAAAGCTGCATTCCTCTGGGACAGGTAGATGGGGAAGTATTGTGGTTGAGAAAAACTTTGTCTTACCAATTCAGAGAGGGAGAAGGCAGCTTTTGGGAACCTGCATGCTGTGAATTCTTTTTCCTGAAAAAGAAACAAAGCATTTTGTCCTACTTTTCCAGAGATTAGCTTTTGTTTAATCTTCCAGTCTTCTGGCATTCTGAATCACTGACTACTCTAATAACATGCTAGTTAATCTTTATGAAACATGTAGTGATAGTTCAGCCTAAGAAATAATTCATGTTTTACTGCTGCCAGATAAAAGCTTATGTTAAAATTTGTGCTGTTACAGGGAAAAGAAAAAGAAACGTGTGGAGGGGGTTTGTCTCCTCAATTTTATGTTTTGTTTTTTTTTCAGTGAACTTCCTAATCACAGTGTTCTCGGGTTTCTCAGGCATCCTCAGTGTTAGATAGCCAGTCCTTACTGGGTTTCATTTTATATTCTCTTATAGTAGACCAAAGTTCTGCCCTTCCACTTCATCAGTAAACAAGTAAGAAAAGGAAACTTGTTAATTACAGGTGGTGTTTATGTTGAAAGATCTGATCTAGCTGCACATAAATCAACAATTTTAATTGTCTGGGGACAAAAAACAGCTGTATGGTAAAAACCAACCAACCAAAAATCTATAAATAGAAAAAATTTGCAGAATATCACTAGTACTTTTTGTTGATTTGAGGAAGATGTTTTTTGAAGACAGTTTGTGACAGAAATGTCATATCAGCAATTTCTCTTAAAGGCATTTCAGTAGTATTATGCTGGTTCAAGAAACGTATTCCTAATCTGCCACTTTCTACTCACTTTCCGCATTAAAAAAATTCCAGGTTCCATAGCAGTGATCATACAAACTGTCCAAAAGGTAATTTTAAGTAAGTTTAAAAACTACTAGGCCAACACCAAATGCCTCATCAGACTGAGGTGCACATTGTAAGCTGCTGTTCTTGGACCTGCTGTGCTGCTTCATGCTTGGTATGTGATCCTGAAACAGCTGAGGGGCTTTTCCAATACATTAATATGTAAAGAGCAGAGAATTAGAGAGTTGGGTCAGGATTGAGCTTTATAACCTTAAGTCAGCTGTCAGCTTTGGCTTTTAGCTGCAATTTCTGGAAGTCTTGTATGATGCTCTCCCAGAGTTTGACTTTTCACTTGTTGTCAATAATGTGATTAATGATTTTGCAATGTTCCTGAAGTTGGGAAAATTTACTTCTTAAATAGTACTAATGAACACAACGCTTCTACTGTTAACCTTACTGTATATTTACTGCTGTCAGGAGGGAGGGGAAGTAGTCACATTGTTTTGTTGGGTGCTTGCCACACAAAATGTGGCCTTGATGATGCTTCACAGGCAAGTTGGGGCAGTAGTGAAAATAAATGAGACCTGGTGATGACAAGCATTAGGGCTACAATTAAAGCCATATTTCAAAAGTGTTTTTTTGGCAATGAGACAGCTCTCCTCACTGTACGTGTTCCAGCCCAGCTCCCTGTGCATGTTAAGACTTGCCTTCTTAACCTTGTCCACTGGGCTTCATTTTTCTCTTTTTAATTTGCCTCCTTCAGCACTTCCCACTGGCTCACTTGCTAGCACATCCTGCTGAGACATTTAAAAATAGATGGCTGAAAATAAGAACATTACATAAAAATGTGAAGCTCTGAAGACACATGGAAAATGTTCATAATAAATCATTCTTCTTCCTTTACCTTTTGCATTGACTGTGAACTATTTGAGCAGACACCTTAGTTCTTTCTACGGGTAATACACTCAGTATACAATGTTGCTGGACCTCTAGATAACTAGTGATAAGTAGTCATCTTAGGGCTTACTGTGAAGAAAAAGTCTATAAGCCAGACCAGATGATCAAAATCATGTATTTGGGGGTTCCCAGTTCATATTTATGTGTGCCTGTCAATGTAACATGGTACAGTAATAACAACTGTGTTCAAGGATAATTAAGAAATTTATGCTGTTCTTAAAATAGCATTGGATATCACACTACTCAGTGTAAAACCAAGCCATTGTAAAAAATAAATTTAATGTAATACAACACAATGAACTGAAGTCTTTTAAACATGGCATTTAATCTTTTGCCAATGTAAAGGTACAAGCTCATTTTCAATATTCCCTATTTTCCTAGTGCTTTTACCTTACTAACTTGAATTCTTTTGTTTTTTTGGTTAGGTTTTTTAATCTTGTTTACTTCTGTTTAATTTCAGCTGAGGTTTATCTGCAGAGAAAAGGCTGACGTCTAAAGATCAATTAATTTTGTTATGTTTCCTTCCCACCTACCTTTCCAAGTTTCAGAGGGGTCAGGAGTAATTTGTTTGCTTTTTTTGTATGCTTGCACACACTGTATTTGCAATTGTAAATGACAAAATATTAGCATGATTTTTAATACTTCTGTAATTTGGTTCACTTCCTCTGATACATAAAAAGAAAGAAGTAATTTGTTTCACCGGGAGCTCCCAGGTAACTTTTGAGCTATTAGTTAGAGCTTTCATTCTGGAAAGGCACACACCACTAATCAAGTCTGTTTGCTTTTTCCACTGTGAATTCTTTGTGAAGGAAGGTCTGTTCTGAGAGCTTTCTATGACTGATGCATCTGAACTGTGAAAGGAGCTGGTATAAGGTCCATGACAAAACCTGCTGCCTTTTATAATGGGAGCAAAAAAGCTGAGTTTTTTAGAGGGTGCATAACACTGTGTTCTTCTGCTGCGCTGTGTCATGGGAAAATCAATGTCTCATTTTTTCCTCCCTAAGGATATTATCTTCCACTTCAAGATATGTGTTTGTATATGTGCCAGCTAGAGCTTTTCCCTCTCTCTTCTTTTGGTTGCTTGCAGAACTTCACAAAGAGACATAGAACCGCAGTAAGCAAATAATTTGTTGTTAACTAATCAGGCTTGGGGCTAAAGGCAAGCTTGGATCATTATAAATGCTGAGGAACAGCAGCAGCTTGGGCCTCATGTAAGGTTCAGATGCCTGGGGCTGAGTGGTCAGCATGCTGGCAGTCAGAAGATTATCCGCTGTTGGAATTGAGGCTGGAGGATGTAAGGGGGGTTTCTCTGTCAACTGGTAAAGGTAGAACTAGTTTCTCTTGTTTTATTTATTGGTTGTAGGGCTTCTTGTATCCCTTCTGAGTGGTGGAGGAAAACATTGCATACAAGTTCTCTACAAGGCATTTCTGCTGAGGTAAGCTGAGGTGTTTAATTAGGTTAGGGCTTGAACATATTAGAAGTAGAGGAAAAGAAGGCGTGAAGTCCAGTATGCTGGGATCTGCCATTGCCACTGTCTTTGTAGCTCACCAGAGCTTGTGTTCCTTCAAGTCTTGTTTACAGCATTTCTTTCCAATAGGAACCCTGGACTGAGCAATCTGCCTGATGCCACTTGGATAGTTGTTTGACAAGTTACTGTATTCTGGGGTCAAATCATGCTTTTGGCAATCAGGAGTTCCACTGAACTGTGTCAATCTATCTATTGTGAATTAACCCCTACACATGCAGCTAAAGGCACACATCAGAGGCAGTTGGTTTTCTTTGCGTTGCTTGTAATATATGGAATAATCATACCTGACTCTGAGTACTCATGCTGACTCCTTAAATCTTCTTTTGCCTTTTTTCTTCCCTTAACACTAGAATACATTCCTGACTTCTGGGTAAACCTAAATAAAACTTAATGTTAATTTTCAATCTTCTTGCCTTCATGCTAAGTTGCCCAAGATATCTTACTTTTAATTTCACAGTTCTCAGAACCTCAGGGCAATGCAGCACCTGTAAAGTCTCAAGCCTTTGTGTCTATATTATGTCTCGTAGTAAATTATGTCTATAGTCAGGAATGACTGCCATGGTCTGCTGAGCTTAGAAATGTTCTCAGTGTTATGTGGGTTTCTGTAACTTTGTCATGCAAAGTATCTCACAGATGTGGTTTTGCTTTCATTACTTCTGGTGGGAACAAGGCTCAGGTAAAAGGAGATTAGAGAAGGGATATATGAAGACAAAAACATTACAAAGACCTCTACGTGATTGTGGACAGGCAGGGTAAATCTGAGCATTTAGAATATGAAAGGATGGTAACTGAGAAAGGAACTAGAAAAGCTCAGGTTGTATTTGTTACAGAAGTCCCTTTGAGTCAGCTGGAAATTAGTGTAACGAGGAGCTTAGTCTGCAGAAGGAATCTGACAATTGTCATTGAGTTGTACAAGATGCATGATTGAAAGCAGGGGAGGCATAAGAGGGGCACTGAGGAGGAGTATGCAGCAGCTAAAGGCAGTTGTAAAAATCACTGCCATACTGTGTTGCCTAAGGCTAGAATAGCATCTTCAATGTCTGCCATCCATGGCTGAATCACTTGTATACCTTTTATATGTCCTGGAGCAACCATCCATAGGGCAGCAGTGCAGGAAGACAGCAGGAATACCCCATGCTTCGTTTCCCTCTAGAGAGGAAGAGAAGCCTGGCCGGAGGAAGGAGGGAGGTCCTGCAGCACCATTGGTCTGAAGGAAGCAGCAGTGTTAGCCCTGTTATCTCACCTCGCCTCAGGGGGCAGGATGCACGGAAGGTGGCAACTGTAAGAAGCCATGAACAGCGTTCTGGTGATGTGTTTAATGTGCAGGAATACACAGTAATTTTTTTTTTATAGGATAGTGGTAAATAAATAAAGGATGTAAGTACATTCTCCCAGAACAACTTCCATCTCTGCAAGACGAGGACCCATCTATCTAAGCACTGCATTAGCTGCTCGTTTACCTTGCAGAGTAGTGCAGGTACCACTAGATGGCTGTCGGACTGAAGGTGTGCGTCAGAACCTTTGGAAGAGCACCCAGGGTAGACCAGGATTCAGCGCAGGGCCTTTACAAAGTGCTTTTGAGGTGGGGACTTAACTTTCAGAAAGTTCGGGGCAAGGTGGGAGACTTGGTCATGCTGAATTGGCATTGTATGATGCGAATCATCACTGATAATTATAAATGGGCTGATGTTTTAGCTTGGAAAGCAACAGGTAATGGTAGGACAAGAGGGCTTTAAACTGAAAGGAGGTAGATTTAGGTCAAATATAAGGCAGAAGTTCTTCCCTGTGAGGGTGCTGAGGCGCTGGCACAGGGTGCCCAGAGAAGCTGTGGCTGCCCCATCCCTGACAGTGTTCAAGGCCAGGTTGGACACAGGGGCTTGAAGCAAGCTGCTCTAGTGGAAGGTGTCCCTGCCCGTGGCAGGGGTTGGAACTGGATGAGCTTTAAGGTCCCTTCCAACCCAAACCAGTCTGTGGTTTTGAGGCAGAATGCTCATTGTCTGATGGGGGATTTAGGCTGGAAGCATCTCTATGAGCTACCAGTGTCAGGTTAATTAAACCCTGATTTGGTAGTTATATGTTGACGAGACAGAGATCCCAGAATCAATAGAGCTGAATCACTGGAGCATTTTCTTTTTTTTTCAGCTTAGTGTTATAATTTGGATATCAGCATTAGAAGTGTATCTTAAAGCTGCACTGTGTTAATACAAAATGTTTCTCAGAAGGCAGTAACAAAACAGAGATGTTAAATAAGAAGGGACTCGCACAGTGGCTTGACTTTGGAAGTCCTGTTTGGCAGCTAGTCTTAGGCTCAGATCTGTCTGGAACAGAGCTGGAGCACAGCCCCTGAAGAGTTCGCACATCATCCATCCATGTGTGCTTCACTTTATTGATGGACTGGAAGAGTGGGATAAAATCCTGAACCCTGATATCTTAATACTGGCTCAAGACCGAAGTGGTGTTCCTGCAGATTCAGTTAAACTCATCTGGACATTTGGTGCATATAGGGTCATAGAATGGTTTGGGTTGGAAAGAACCTTAGGATCATCTAGTTCCATCTGCCTGCCATGAGGGGTTGGTAAGATGATGCTTCAATGATTTTCTTCAGTCAGTAGAAGTACACTGAGAGACTGTGTTGGGAAGGGAGGCCAATGCAGTGTTAGAGGGGCACTTCACTGCTCACGTATGTAACTGCAGGTGACAGCTGGGGAGATGTTAGCTCGAAATCTATCTGCCATGGCACAGTGAATTTACTGATCATCTCAGAGCCTGTGAATAAAAGATGGATTGGGCCATGCAGCACAAAAGGCATGAATGGAGAGAAAGAAAGAAGAAACTGTATCTGTGGCAATCAGTGAGCTGTGGTAATTGGAGTAATTTCTCACAGGGAAACCCACAGATTTCCTGAGGGAAAAGCTCCATTAGTACTTGTTCCTCTAGACCTGCTTCCCTGCTATCTCATGAGACCCAGTCATGCAAATACAGTTCCTTGGGACAATTTCCATGCATAAATTTTAGCAGAGTTAAACTCTCTTCAGAGTCCTCAGCTTTGAAGCCTCTTGACTTACCCACCACATCTTGGAAGAGAAAAACTTCCAGAATTAATACCAGCTTGATTATTCAGCAGGAAAGCAGGAGCAATGAGTGCTACTGCTGACTTGTTATGTGCAGGGTGCTCCAAGGCTTTTTGGCTGGTTGATCTTGCTCTCTGAATAAAATGAGAGAGTTGCATAAATATTGGCCGTCCTCAGTGCTGCCTTTTAGTCAGGGTTGAGTAAAGAGCTGTGACAACGTCAGCTTCTCTCAAGTGAGCATGCCCTTAAGGAGCAGGTTCAGCACCTCATTGTAGTTTTAATTGGAGTGTGTTCACACACAACAGCACAACATTTGCCTAATAATGTTTTACAGGTTGGGATATTCCTTGGCATTAGAGAGCCTTTGGTGGCCCTACTGGAAATGGGATTAATCAAGAGCCACATTCCTTCTCTTCCAGTTTCCCACCCAGAATCAGCCACACTGGATGTCTCTAAGGGTCTTATGACGCTCCTTCCCTTTTGGAAACGTGGGTGTTTGGGGGTGTTTGATGTAGCTGGTTTGGAGAGTGCTTGGAATGGTCATGGCAACATCCCAAGTGTTTTTAGGAAGATCAGTGTATACATAAAACTACAGCATACAGTGATAGAAGCATAGACAAGCATGGAAATACTAAGGCTTGTGTTTGTGTCTGGGTTTGCAGTTCTTGCCAGCAGGTCACAGAGATCACAGTCCAACAAACCTGGGGAACCTGAAGTGTTGGTTACCATTGGTGATAAGAGGAAGGTTGATCTTTGTCTTCAGCTTTCTGATTGACTTTTTTACATTTCAGAATCACTTGATGAAGGAAGAGAATGACAGTGAATGCATTGCAGCAATTTAGATGTGCTTACAGCCTTATTCTTAACTGTGGTAAATTGGATTAAGTGTATGGATTTGAAGAGTGATACTGATTTACACCACATCTGTGCTGCTCTTTGTTTTCTTTTTCCTTTGGTATCTGAAGCTGAGGTACAGAAGCAGGCAGTGTGAAACAGAGGTCTTTTCTAATACCAATCAGAATCTGTGTTACTTCAGTGAAATTAAAATATAGTCAAGTATAAAATTTAACTACCTTATCGTAATATTTAGCTGCACTTCTTAAGAGTTTTCAGTATACTGGGTGATTCAGTCTCTCTAGACTGTCACAAAGCCAGAGGCACTTATCAACTCACAACAAGCTGCAAAAATGGGCCCTTAATTTGCTGTTACTTCAACAAACAGTGATTAAAGACCTGCAGACCCGTGTTGCTGACATATTTTGGTCTTTGGGGAGATAATCTGAAACCGATTTATCTTTTGTTCTGTGTAGTCTTCTTTGCAATATTCTTGATCTTGAAATGCATTTCTGTGGGTTTTGTTGTTTGTTGGTTTTGGGGGGTGTTTTTGTGCTGCTTGTGTAATAACTCTGACAGACCCTTGGTTACAGTTTTACTCAGAAATGCAAAATTGTGTAGACAAGACGCAGTTTTAAATTCTGGTAGAACACTTTGCAATCTCTGAATCACTTATGCCATAAATCTATTTGACCTTCAGTTTCCCTTAGGTATCTTTGTATCAGTATGAAAGTAGTTTAGTTTAAGTGTGCGTGCTTACATCGTAATGAGCTGATAGCATTATTTTAACATCTCTGGAAATGACTGTACTCCTGCAAGCACCATTCAAGGCATGAAGCTATGTATCAGACTCGGAATTACAGATAGGCAAACCTTTATGGTTTTACCGTCTTTTTCCTAAAAATATCCTGCAAAAACATAGTAATTGTGCTGTATGAGCCTATTCAAGTTTATTCAAGTTATTTGCTGAACTGTGTAATATTTTATGCTTTTAATCATGAGTAGCTCTTAGCTCTTTCTTCTCTCTGAAGCTTTGAAATTTCCTGGAGTTTGTTGTCTTGTCTTTGAGCTGATTTTTGTGAAATTCTCAACTAAGTCCCTTAGAGTTAGAGAGGCTCTAACTAATTTGGCATGGAACTAGGCAGTTTGGACAGCTTCAGGCTAGCTGGGCAAAAAGTAAAACATCAGACCGATGAAATATATATAATTTTGAGAAGTAGAACCTCAGGGCATAAAGTTTTTTGTTACCTGCTTTGTTGTTCTGGTGAAGATATTTCAAAAACAGTGACTTGCAAGTGAAATTTTAATTAGAAATTTTTAATGGGGTTTTTCTTAAAATACCATGTAAGACACTAAAAAGACAGTAGAAGACCTGTTGATGGAAGGACATGAAAGCACTCCCTTTGTTTTATGAGTAGTCTCTATTCATGGGTGCAGTCCAATTATCTTCAGTATTTGTCATACAGTACCTTTAAGGTTATGAATTTCAGTAAGAAAACTCTTTAATGAGATGAATTTTTGTGTAGCAAAGCAACAGATCCTGATGTGGGGTTCAAAGTGGGCAGGCAGAAACAAAAGCTGCGATGGAACTAGGATGTACTTGGTCTCCGTCCTGTCTATGTGGGAAGCATTGTGCATCTGAATGTGGAGTTAAGGGCAAATTATTATGCTGTTTGTCTGAAATGAAGTGAAACATCATTGGATTCTCACAGAGGCATTGTGAGAGCTTCATTGCCCTGAAAGGTCAATATAAATTGTGCCTCATCATCTGCTTTAAGTTTAAGCAGAAGAGAAATTCTGTATAACTCCATTCTGAGAATAGTCACAGTTCCCTGGGAGCTGATGAAAAGAAATTATTTTGAAGTAGCTGAGATAAAACGTGTTGTCTTGTAGTTAGTGTCTAGCTGACTAATGACTGAATGCCAGAACTGGCAAGCAGGAAATTTCATAAGATATTGTGACTTTATTATATGCATGCATGGAGTTCTATACTAATACTTTAAGTCCTAATGTATTCTTTTAAACACAATTGTCAAGTCATGAAGCAGTAGACCTTTTCAATGGAGACTTAAAATTCTAAGTGTTTGTTTCAGGATGATTATGTTTTATTACTTAGTTATGGCACATATTGCTGATGATATAACAGACTATAACTTTCAGAAGTGAAATACCCTAAGGGTCTTCTACAGTCCTTCCCTTGTAGACATGTGTTTGATTTTTACAACTGGTGTAGATATGGCAGGAATTGAGTATGGAAATAATGAAATCTGAGTTGGATTTTTATCCCTCTTGCTGAATCTACTGTTATATTCTGCTAAAGTGCTCCTCAAGCACTTCTTGGTGCTGACAATCCATACCCAGATCTTTACATGAGCTGCTTTGGTACTATTCCGAATGCAGATCTCAGAGTGAAGTAGCTTTGGGTTGGGCTTTTTTCCCTTCTGTGTGAGCCTTTCATGGAGCTCAGACACTGGCATAAGGAAACTACAGAAACACTAAACTTTGGAGAAAATAAGTTTTCTTGAGAACTAGCTTCTGTTGGAAGTACAATGGTAAAGATAGGAACACATGGGGAAGGAAAATGGCTTAGTTGTTTCCCTTCATCATCTTTTCCCCATGAGTACAATTTTAGTAATCCAGAAAAAAAATACATAAAGTAACCTAGAGTATGAGCTTGCATCCTAATATTGAAACTAAGAACTGAAGCTTCTCAACAAGATCTGCAGCCTGTATGCAACAATTGGTTTGCCCAAAGTGGCTGGGGAATTCTGTAGACCTTGATGGAGCTGCATGCTGGTGTCTTGCAGGGAAAGAAGAGCATTCAGCTCAGTTTCTGTGCTGTGCCTGCTTGGAAAATACAGTTTAATGTCCTGTGCCAGAGGCCAGCAGAGAACCCAGTGGGCGTATTGAGTACATCACGTATTCACAACCTTGTTCTCTTTCTTAGGGCTTTGCCAGGTATTGTGCCATGGCTAGGACGCAGGGAACTGGACAGAGCCTCCTTTAGCTCAGATAAGCTGTTGCTACAGAAGCAAAGTAGTTCAGAAGGAATTCAATACTTTCAGTAAAATGTGTTTGAATATTTAGATTTTACCATGCAGAAACCAGATTCCATTTAGGAAACATGAGTATTATATCAGCCTTTTATCAGTTTAACATGTGGCTAATAATTTATTACTTGTTGGAGTAAAAACTTTCTAATGCTCCTTCCGGGAGCACATCTCCTACAGGGAATGTGCTATACTTTTCAGTTCCTTGACCTTCAAGATTTTAATCACTATTTATAGATTACTGCAATGTATTAAAATAATTTTCTGAACAAAAAGAATGGGGGAAAATATCTTTCATTATAAGTAAAATCAGAGGGTAATTTCTGTCAGTACATGTGCTTAATTGTTCAAGATAACTGCAGAATGCTGTTTGGGTATGTTTGAAATAAAAATATAGACCAATGCAAGTTTTAAATACTTCTACTATAATTTATGCAGAGGATATGTAGTCCACTTAGTGAATTTTTTTGCAGTTGTTTTTGCACCCTAGAATAGTGCACTACTGCCACCAATGAGCTTATATGGCTTAAAGAATAAACCTGGCAACTCTGGCAGTCTGGAGTCTGCATCCAGTCACTACTATTTATAAAAAAGTTGGATGACAAGCAAATTTTAGGTGATCTAATGGTAGGTGGAAATAATAAAATACCGAACCTGCAAAATTAATGAGAGTTCATTACTGAAATAATAATATATCCATCTTATGTAATGCTTCCCTACCAGAGAAACTGGGGAAAGTCAAAGAGGAGAAACAGCTGGAGAACAGCCGGGAGGTACAAGGGCTGCAGTGAGAATATGAAACAATCTGCAGAATCCCTATAGAAGTGAGTTAGGTCAAAGCAAAGGTCTTAGCCCGTCAGTGCAATTCCAACATCATAGGAAATTTGCATTTAGTCCTTGATCAAAACCCATTCGCTGTGTTTTGGTTCCAAGTCAGACCAGTAATTGGAAGGGTCCTGTGTTGTGTTTTCGTGTGACTCTGCCACACTCTGGTGTCAGAGCAGAGTATCTATCAACTTCCCCAAATAAAGCCTCATGATGAGGGGTTTTGCGCGTCCCTTCACTATACCGTAGGAGTTGTTGCTGTATCAGAGTAGCAATTAAAAGCTTAAAAAGAGATGCAATGCATTGATGAGGGCTGAACAACCTGGGTTCCCCTTGGATAATGAGTGCTGTTCCTCTTCTGCTTCTAGAATTTAGATTCAGGGAAAAGGCTTTGAACTAAATGAAGCGGGATGCCAGGCACCTACACTGCTCTTTTAATTATGTCTGGTTATGAAATGTTAAGATCTTGGCAATAACAATATCTGCTAATTGTAACTGCTTGTTCTGAATTTGTTTCTCAGTTGAATTATACAGCACTAAATGTTCCTCTCAACATATTTTTCCCTCCCTAGTAACACAATGAATCATGAAGGACATTTTCTATGAGAGCTCGTGCAGCTCAGACCCAGCTATAGGAGGAGACTGAGTTGAAAACAGAAATATGTTGAAAGTACAAGCACTCACTTCATTGTTAAACAGTGGTGATTTGTTTGTTTTACCTCCATGTAAAGAACTTACTCCATGGAAGAACTTACACAGGCTTAAATGGTGAGTCAAAGTTTGGGTTCCTGTAAATTCGGATGCATGTTATGTCCACAGTCCCACCTACATCACAGAACCTGTTGGATATTAAAGTGGTCTAAGTACTTGGGCAGTAAAAGGCCCAGTATTTTTCCAGCCATCTTCATGTTTAGAACAGTAGCTGGGCTAATTTTCTGTGGGACCATGTTGAACTAGCTCCCACACTAGTAAGAAAACTGTTATTCTGAAAAGCAGATCAGTTGCACTACCTGATTGTATTTCCAAAGTGTGTGTCAGCTGGGACAAATAGCTTTTAAAAGATATCTGTTCTACACCAGGGGCTGTTCTGCATCAGGATACCTGTTCTAACAGGCACAGACAGCACTGACTTTGGCTCTGCCAGACCAGAAGGGCAGCAGTGGGCTGTGCTGTCTGTTGTGGTAGTGTGCAATTGTTTTTCCTAAGGACCTGATATAACTGTGAAGAAATACAGACTCTCCCAGAGAAATGCAAGTAGCAGCACTATGCAAAGGATCCTGGAGTGGTCTGGGTCATGGTCCAGATTGGGGTTGGAATCTTGTCTATTTTACCACCTAAGTAATCTTGCTAAGTAGTCCCACCAAAGTAGTCCTGCTGTAGAGAGTTGTTGGCAAAACATAAATGCTAATTGAGGAAAAGAAAAAATAAAATCATAAAATACAGCTGGACCTATGCATAAACCAGCAGAAACCCTTTGTGTGGCAAATATGAATGCCTGTCATCTAGTGTCGACTTGTTTCAGTTGTGTTGGAACATCCCCTCTATAATCCACTACAGTTTCTGTGGCTTAAATCATAGGGTCAATAGCAAGATAAATCCAAGAGATTAATTTGAGTCACGTGCTCCAAATTGTGCCAACAACTGTGCTTTTCTATTCTTAAGCTACGCAGTGCAGTGAGGATAGTATCTAAAACCCAAAACTCCCAAATGCCTCCATGAAATTGCGTAACTCTGCAAGTGGCTGTGTTTGTACCTCCACGTGGGAGACGGGTCACAACATTGGGAAGTACCCCTGTGCTCCAAATGGCACTGTAGCATGCAAGAGTAGTGCAGATGGTAAAGGCACATTGCACACCCACTCTCTCCAGTTTTCTTTGGGATATGCTTTATTACATATCTGAGATTTTACTTCCACTTTCTGTTCACTATAGGATATCCAACTGAGATGACTAAATCCTTGAATGAATCTGAACACAATTGTAAAGGGAAGTGGGAAAAGTAGCTGAGAAGGTTGGAAGAAAAGACAGCAGACTACAAGGGCACTATGTGAGCTGAAGGATCAAATTATGGGGCAAATGATCCCCTTCCCTGTTTCCTTAATTTGGTTTTAAACAGTGTGCTCTGTAGAATGTAAAATGCAACTATTTCTCACTTATACTCCCACTGCCTCTATTCACCTCATTCTTTTCCCTTTTAATGCTTCTGAGCTATCATCTCATTCTCAGTAGTTCTGTCTTTTATCTTTCTTCCAGAGAAGCCATTCACCATTCAGTAAAAAAGATAACACCAACTCTTTTCAATATGGTCAATAAGCTTTTTTTTTTTTTTTTTTTATTCCTTGTTATTTTTATTCGTTATTATTATTTTAAATAAGTATATGAAAAAAGTTTGGAAACTTTTGCTTTCTAGTATGAAACATTCACAGTTTGCACGCCGCAACTGCACTTCAGGCAAATTCTCTTGCAGACACTATGTATTTCATACAATAACAGTGCAATTTGTTACTAGTAGGTTGATAGTCTGGCTACAGGCAAACTTTGAAAGCTTCCACATACAGTGCTTTTACTTTAAGCTTGTTAGTGGCTTTAGATACAGAATTCATTTTTGTATTGAGGCTTCTTCTGTATGCTTGGTGAAAGAGCATTGTACAAACACCACTGGTGCGTAGCCCTGAAAGAATGCTTTCTAGTGCTTGGCTCAATATGTTAATTGCATGAACATTAGAAGCTCAAAGGCAAATAAAACAGTAAGTGTATTTGTGCCGACAGAAGCTGTTTTGTTTGTTACTCATTCAATATTACGTATTCACCAAGATACATGACTGGCAGAGTTTATTATTAGTTATAGAGAAGAATGAATACTTATTATTGAATAGACTCTGACTTTTGACATTCTCAAAACCTCCAGCTCCATAATGATGTGTTGGAGCTAGATGTGTTGGCTTGAGTACTTCTTATACGTATGCTGGCAGAAAGTAGTGTTGTAACTGGTGGTGTTGCTTTGCTATTGTATTATATTGACATACAGATGTGTACATTTCTGCTCTTATTCTTGGGAATGCTTTACAATCAGGCTTAGTTCCCTTTGTAAATGTATTTAATTGGTGATGCCGGATCCTCTAGGATTAAGCTATCTGTCTCATTGAAGGTGTCACTTTCACCAGAGTGATTGGCATTTTTTACTCTGTTTAACCGAGACTGCATTCGTTCATGTTCCTTTCTCAACTCCGAGTAGGAATGGGAGAAAGTGTGGAATATTGATGTAGCAGGAAAAGACATGATGAGAATTCCACTGAGGATGCTGCTGAGAGCCACCATCTGGCCTGGGACACTTCGTGGTACCATATCCCCATACCCCACAGTGGTCATTGAAATGATGGCCCACCAGTAAGAAGCAGGTATGCTCGTAAATTCGAGCACCTTCCCAGATTCATTCTCAGCGAGATAGACCAAGGGAGAAAACAGAGTGACAGCAACACATAAGAAGAGTAAAAGCAAGCCAAATTCCCGTGTGCACCTCCGAACTGTGAGGCCCAAAGTCTGCAAGCCCAAGGAGTGTCGAGCAAGGTGCATTACATATAAGATCCTCAGGGCTCGTAAAACCCGTAGCACCAAACTAACCTTCTCCAAATATGTATTGCTGCTTGGCCTATTGTCCTCCTCATTTGAGTCATCCTCTGAGAAGATGAGGGAAATGTAATATGGTGAAATAGCCAAGAAGTCAATTATATTTAGGGGTCCTTTGAAGAACTGACATTTGCTCCTTGCCTGAATGAATCGGAGGCAGAACTCGAGGGAAAACCAAGCCACACAGATGGTCTCTATGACGAAGATGTAATAGCACTTCTGGGAACACTCACCCTGACACAAAAACAAAAAGAGAATTAAATAAAAGAACAGTCTGTGAACCAGCATCCAAAAATACTAAGGAAGAAGCAATATGTACTTGTTTGAGTCACTGGTATCAGAAACAGACAAATCCCTAGCAGGTAGTTTTATGATGGTCATTTTTCAGTGTTGTGTGGACAATAATGAGCACATGAAATACCCAAATGAACAGATATATCTACTTGCTTATTTTTTGAAGAATCATAGGGTTGGAAGTGACCTTAAAGCTCAACCAGTTCCAGCCCTGTACCACTGGCACAGACACCTTCCACTAGACCAGGTTGCTCCAAGCCCTGTCCAACCTGGCCTTGAACACTGCCAGGGATGGCAAAAAATTTCCTTCTAATATCTGGCAGGTTAAAGACATTCCCCTTGTCCTGTCCCTACAGACCCTTGTCAAAAGCCCCTCTCCGGGTTTCTTGTTGGCCCCTTTAGGCACTGGAGCTGCTCTAAGGTCTCCCTGGAGCCTTCTCTTCTCCAGGCTGAACCAGCCCAGCTCTCTCAGCCTGGCTTCAGAGCAGAGCTGCTCCAGCCCTCACAACATCTGTGGCCTCCTCTGGACTCACTCCAACAGCTCCATGTCCTTCTTATGTTGTTGCCCCAGAGCGGGATGTAGGATTGCAGGGCTTGTATATCCAGAGTAAGGTAGAGGGAGAGAATCCCATCCCTCAACCTGCTGCTCACGCTCCTTTTGTTGCTGCCCAGGACACAGTTGGCTTTCTGGACTGTCAGCACACACTGCTGGGATGTGTTGAGCTTCTATTCTTATTACGTTGCTTCTTCCAGTCTAAATGAATGAAACTTATCTTTGTATAAAGTCTTGGCATGTAGCTTGTAAGTCCCAAATAAGTCTCACTTCTGCTCTCAAAGGGAAATTGATTTAAACTTGACTGGTTTATAAGCCTGTACAAAAATCAGCTTCTCTTTGAAAGATTAATGTTTGAATGTCTCTGTAGACTTCTGGTGCTGTTTGATGCATGGTGCTTTCACAAATGCTGTGTGCACTGGTGCAGTTAAATGTTGTTCAGAGATACTTATTGAGTCTTTTGGATCTTTGGCTCAGTAGTGCAGTATATAAATTTTGTTTCTTTATGTACATGAAAATGTTTTATTCTAAAGGAAAATAAATATCCACCGAGTAGCTGAAACTTGCATTGAAGTCTCCTCTTCCAGTTTTGAGGCCACACGCTACAGGAAGCATTTCCTTGGTTCTATTACTGAAGGAATTGCTTTAATTGAGCTACCTTGAACTCGCATTCATTGTTTTCCTGAGCTACACTTAAAAAAAGAAAACTTCCTTTGGCCTATTCCAGGGAAATGAGGGGGCAAATGCAAATGAACTTGTAATTATTTGGGGAAACTTTGTCCTTTAGTGATAGGCAGCCACTAGATTGAATCCATCCAAAGAGCAAGTTAAGAGATGCACATATTGATTACAGGGACTGGGGGTTCTGCTTACTGTATTCCAACTGGCAAAGAGTAAACCAGGTCCTGCCACCATTTTTCTCCTTGTAAGAGATAAGAAACAGCAATGAGAGCAGCATCTACTGCTTAGCAGCTGGACACCTCACCCGTAAAGAAACTCATTGTTTTAAATACTGGTGTCACTGTGTTCTTACACACCCTGTCTATCCTACTGATAAACACATCCCTATACCTGTTCAGAGACTTACTTAATATATTCTTAAGAAACCTGGTCTTGTGATTGGACTAATGCTGTTTGGTTTTTTTTTTGTTTTTGAGCATTGTGAGTAAGTTTATTGAAGAATTCCACCGAACAGGTATTTGTAAGATATTTTCAGTGGTATGCAGCTGTTTACATGAAGTTGCTGCATCAATGCAATTATTTGGTACAATTTAAGTGAACTAGAGTCTTTCATGGACTTTGGCTGACTTTGAAGCACGTTTGTGTGCACATTATCAAAACACCGGCATATGAAGTGTATGGGCTCTGAGGTTTGGTCAAGATGAGAAATCTCAGCTATAATTGGGAACCAGAGAAAGGGCTTGACCAGTATTGCAACCCTTTGAAATTCCAGGCCAGATTCAGAATATGGGTTGTCACAGCATGTTCCAGAAAAAAACAAATGTAGGAGGTGGTAATTTCATTTTAGATTTTTGAAAAATAGTATTTGGCAAATAGCTGTTTCTAGCTACAGCTGAGGTACATGAGGGCTTAGCAAGGTTAAAGAGTCTTAAATTCTTGCTGAACAGTGACTTGCATCTCTGAGGTGTTCACAGCTGCAGAAGATCAAGCAGAATTAGTGATTTACACAAAAAGGACATGGAGCCATTGGAGCAAGTCTAAAGGAGGCCACAAGGATGATCAGGGGCTGGAGAACCGCCTGTATGGAGACAGGCTGAGGAAGTTGGGGCTGTTCAGCCTGGAGAAGAGAAGGCTGTGTGGAGACCTCATAGCAGCCTTCCAGTATCTGAAGGGGACCTATAGGGATGCTGGGGAGGGACTCTTCATTAGGGACTGTAGTGACAGGACAAGGGGTAATGGGTTAAAACTTAAACAGGGGAAGTTTAGATTGGATATAAAAAGGAAATTCTTTCCTGTGAGGGTGGTGAGGCACTGGAATGGGTTGCCCAGGGAAGTTGTGAATGCTCCATCCCTGGCAGTGTTCAAGGCCAGGTTAGACAGAGCCATAGGTGAGATGGTTTAGTGTGAGGTGTCCCTGCCCATGGCAGAGTGGTTGGAACTGGATGATCTTAAGGTCCTTGCCAACCCTAACTGTTCTATGATTCTGTGTTGAAGGATGATCCATGCAGAGAAAGGACTTCCTTTTGAGATGGCACAGTGGCCATGTCTTATTCAGGAATCACTGCAGACCCTTGGTTTGTGAAAGGCTTTTTGTATCCTCTATAGAATAAAGTCAGGGCCTCTGTATGTGTTTTTCCTGACTGCCTGTCTGTGGAACTAAGCAATTTAGAGGAGCAGTTCCTCATATAGTGTTATCCATTCTCACAGGAAATGTTGATTAAAAACACCACAGGAAACACATATCCCTACTACTAATTGAACTTGTTACCAATGCTGTTATCCTCTGCATTGCAGAGTGTCTGTTGTGATAGAATTACTGCTATTCTCAGGAGTAACAGGTCTTTTTCTTCAGGCAGTGTTTATGTCATTGGCTACCTGAAGTCCCCCAGGTAAAATGGTAACATATTCCTGACATATATGTTTTCCCTGCCTAGCTCTCAGGATGATTTAGCTCTGTAGCACCATTTGGGGATTTTTCCATTTTCTACACAGTAGACCATTGAGATCATGATTTATCTCTTAGTAAGCATTGCCAAAG